GTCCAGGAGCAGGTCTTTTGAAAAGGCGTCGGATGCTCACAGGAATACGGGACCTCCGTCGTGGCTCCACAGCTGCAGCAGGTCCAGGAGCAGGTCTTTTGAAAAGGCGTCGGATGCTCACAGGAATACGGGACCTCCGTCGTGGCTCCACAGCTGCAGCAGGTCCAGGAACAGCTCTCTTGAGGAGGCGTCGGATGCTCACAGGAAGACGGGACCTCCTCCTGGGCGGTGGAGCTGGTGTTGGAGGTGGAGCTGGCTCAGAGAGGGGCTCCTCATCAGGTGTTGTGATGAGGGGGATGTGTCTCAGTTCCTGGGGTGTGTGGATGTCGATGGAGCTAATGAAGCTGTCTGAGGAACTGAGACTCTCCTCACTGAGCGGCTGGACGTCCTCCATGAGCATGAACAGATGGGCCAGAAGGTCAAATTCTCTGAGAATCGGAGAGGGACTCTGCTCTGGTGTAGGAGGGTCCACTTCCTGAGGATGCACCCTAAATGGTCTCAAAAAGAAACGATGCACTGGCTCACCCCTGGAGGGTATAGGTGTAGGTATGGTGGGACGCAGTCTGTTCCGGAGCGTACTGACGGAAGCTGTTACTGCAGCACTGATCCTGTCCATCCATCCCATCGGAGCTGGTCTGGGAGCCTTTTCATGAACAAACACAAAAAATTGTTAGTTTCTTTAGCTCATTTAAAACTACCATAGCTGACACAAGTAATCTAAGATTAACAACAATAAAAAGTAGCAAACTAAAACTTTATCAAAGCAAAACTAAAATACAGAACAAATCAATTATTTGAACAATAAAAGTCAAGATTTTCTAACTGCTGGGCTTTCAGTGTAGAATAAAAACAACTTCATGTTTCTGTTGGGTTTTAGATAAAAATTAAATCTTTATATTAAATCTTGTGCTCAGATAATGAGTCAAGTAAGTTTTATAATAAAACAACAATAATTGAACTGAATAATTTACAACAAAACTACAAAGTGCAATTAAAGAGATTCAAACATTTTATAAAGTTAGTTGAGATGTTTTCAGCAAAGTAGCTCTCTGCAAACTTTCAAACTGCTAGCTCAAAGAAAAATGTAACACAATGCTAGTTCAAAAGTATGAAAATAGTTGCTAAAATCAGTAACAGATGATCTAAAACCCAAAAGTAGTTGAAGCAAAAAAATGGCCTCAAAGTAAAGTCAAAAAGCTAGCTAGTTAAAAGAAGTAAAAAAGCTAGCTAAAAGCAAAAAGTAGTAAAATGCTAGTTCAAAGTCAGTGGCAAATTTGCTAAATGTAGCAGAACATTAGCTAAAACCCACATTTGAAGCAACAAATGGCTTATGAAAAGCTAATGTCAACAAAGCACCTTACTCAGGCTATATTTAGAACGCAAGTCACGTGACTCTGTCCGCCCGATACTGATGCTCGGTCTCGGGTTTAGCTCTGTTTAAACTTAAATAAATTCAGGAAAACAGCATGAAACTCCACCGGGAGGACCACAAAACATCGTGCTACAGTACTCGCAACACTGACTCAGGATATTAACACTGAATCTCCGTAGAATCCACTCCGATTGTCCCATCATTTGCGAGCGCCACAGATAATGTTGCAAATGATATGTGTGACGTCATGAGTGAAAGTCCCAAATGCTACTTCAATGCTAACGTTAGCACAATGCAAATTTCAAGCTAAC